CGGTGGGGGGGGGCGGTGCTGCCCACAGGTGCCCCAGCCATGAGGACGGCGGTGAGGCTGTGGTTGACCCTGGTTGGGGTCGCTGCCGTGACGGCGCTGCGGTGCCCCGACGGAGCCTCCGAGTGTCCCCAAAACACCACGTGCTGCGTCACCGCGAGGGGAGCCTGGGGCTGCTGCCCTATGCCGGAGGTACGGGGACACCGTGGGGTGACGTGGGGTGATATGGGGACGGGGGTGACACGGTTGGTGCCGCGCAGGCGGTGTGCTGCCAGGATGAGGAGCACTGCTGTCCCCGCGCCACCAGCTGCGATTTGGAGCGCGGACGCTGCGTGTCGCCCGTGGGGGACGTCCCCATGGCCACCAAATTCCCGGCGTGGAAGAGACCCCGTGGTGCCACGGCACGACCTCGGCCCCGCGTCCCTGCAGTGGGTATGGCACGGCCCTGCCCCCGTGTCCCCACATCTCCACGTCCCAGCACTGGTTGTGCCACATCCCTGTCCCCGTGTCCTGGCACTGGGTATGGCACATCCATGTCCCCATGTCCCAGCAGTGGGTATGGTGCATCCATGTCCCCATGTCCCCATATTCCGACACTGGGTATGGCACATCCCTGTCCTCTTGTCCCCATCCTAATGTCCCCACGTCTCCATGTCCCCATGTCCCAGCAGTGGGTATGGCACATCTATGTCCCCATGTCCCCATCCCCATGTTCTGACACTGGGTATGGCACACCCCTGTCCCCCTGTCCCCATGTCCCAGCAGTGGGTATGGCACATCCATGTCCCCATGTCCCCATATTCTGACACTGGGTAGGGCACATCCCTGTCCTCTTGTCCCCATCCTGATGTCCCCACGTCTCCATGTCCCCATGTCCCAGCAGTAGGTATGGCACACCCGTGTCCTCATGTCCCCATATTCTGACACTGGGTAAGGCACATCCCTGTCCTCTTGTCCCCATCCTGATGTCCCCACATCTCCACGTCCCCATGTCCCAGCAGTGGGTATGGCACACCCGTGTCCTCGTGTCCCCATGTCCCCGTATTCTGACACTGGTATGGCACATCCCTGTCCCCATGTCCCCACGTCCCAGCACTGGGTGTGACACATCCCTGTCCTCTTGTCCCCATCTTCATGTCCCCACATCTCCATGTCCCCGTGTCCCAGCACTGGGTATGGGATGTCTCCAGTGTCCCCACTGGAACTGGGAGGCGGTGGGGAAACTGGGAGTACTGGGGGGGACTGGAGCAAACTGGGAGGGACTGGGAGTACTGGGAGATGTGGGGATTCTTGGGACTGGGGAAACTGGGAGGCACTGGGGGGGGGAACTGGGAGAAATGGGAAGCTGGGAAGTGCTGGGAGACCCTGGGGGAAGCGGGGGGTCCTTGGGACTGGAGTGCACTGAAGCACTGGGGGGAAACTGGGAGACGTGGGGAGGGGAACTGGGAGGCAATGGGGGGAACTGGGAACCGCCCCCCCCCACATCCCTGTCCCCACGTCCCAGCAGTGGGTATGGCACTTCCGTGTCCCCGTGTCCCCAAGCCATGTCCCTGGGTACGGCACATCCTTGGGTCCCCATGTCCCCCTGTCCTGGCATTGTGTACAGAATATCCCCGTGTCCCTGTGTCCCCATGTCCCCACATCCCCATGTCCCAGCAGTGGGTATGGCATGTCCCTGTGTCCCCATGTCCCCATGTCATGGCACTGAGTCTGGCACATCCCTGTCCCCATATCCCCGTGTCCCAGCAGTGGGTATGACATCCCTGTCCCCATGTCCTGGCACTGTGTACGGAATGTCCCTGTGTCCCCACATCCCCACGATGTCCCCATGTCCCCTTGTACTCACCCTGTGGCCTGCAGTTCCTGAGTGCCACCACCTCGTATGGTCCCCATGCCCTCATGTCCCAGCACTGACTATGGCACATCCCTTTGTCCCCATGTCCCTTTGTCCCCGTGTCCCTTTGTCCCCATGTCCCCATGTCCCTTTGTCCCCCTGTATCCTGGCACTGGATATGGAATGTCCCCGTGTCCCTTGGTCCCCACGTCCTCATGTCATGGCACTGAGCATGGCATGTCCCCATGTCCCAGTGCTGGATATGGCGTGTCCCTCTGTCCTCACATTCCCACATCCCTGTCCCAGCACTGAATACGACGTGTCCCTGTGTCCCCACGCCCAATCCCTGCCTATGACACATCCCTGTCCCCACGTCCCCACATCCCCACATCCCATCCCTGTCCCCATGTGCTGACGGTGACACCGCTCCCCGCAGCGCTGCGCCAGGTGACATGTCCCGACAACAGCTCCGCGTGTCCCGACAGTGCCACGTGCTGCCAGCTGCCGTCGGGGCGGTACGGCTGCTGTCCCCTACAGAACGTGAGTGTGTCCCCAGGCGTCCCCCCGCGGCGGTGGCACATGGCACACGGTCCGGGCCGTGCCGTCACCGCGTTGTCCCCACGCAGGCGGTGTGCTGCGGTGATGGGTGGCACTGCTGTCCCCAAGGCACCACGTGTGACCTGCAGCGCTCCATGTGCACCTCGGGGCGGGACGTGGCACACGGTAAGGGGACACGGCCACCCCCACGGCCACCCCCACGGCCCCGGCTGGGGATGGAGGGGACGTCGGTGACCCATCGTGTTGTCCTCAGTTGGTGACGTGAAGTGTGACGATGAGATGAGCTGCCCCGACGGGAACACGTGCTGCAGGCTGAGCTCCGGGGAGTGGGGGTGCTGCCCCCTGGAACAGGTGATGTGGGGACGTGGGGGGGTCCCAGGGGGGTCACAGGTGGGTGGGAGGGATGAGGGCATTGTCACCGACTTGGGATGGGAGGAGGACTGATGTCCCCTGGATGGGATGGGGTTGGGTGTCCCCAGAGCCACGATGGGACAAGGATGGGTGTCCCCATGCTGGGACCAGAGCCATTGTCCCCATGTCCTCCAAGGGATGAAGTTGGGTGTCTCATGCTGGGACAAGGGTAGATTCCCTGTCTTCTATATGGGATGGGGTTCGGTGTCCCCAGAGCCGTGATGGGACAAGGACAGATGTCCCCATGTTGGGACAAGAGCAGATGTCGCATATCCTCCATAGGATGGAGTCTGTTGTCCTCTGTCCCCATGCTGACACACGGACAGATGTCTCTGTGTTCTGCATGGGGTGGGGTTGGGTGTCCCCAGAGCCACAATGGGACAAGGACAGATGTCCCCATGCTGGGACCAGAGCCATTGTCTCCATGTCCTCCAAGGGACGAAGTTAGGTGTCCCATGCTGGGACATGGGTACAAGGGTAGATTCCCCATTTTATATATGGGATGGGGTTGGGTGCCCCAGAGCCATGATGGAGCAAGGACAGATGTCCCCACAATGGGACAAGAGCAGTTGTCCCCGTGTCCTCCATGGGATGGAGTTGGGTGTCCCCTGTCCCCATGTTGGGACAAGGACAGATATCCCCCTGTCCTACGTGGCATGGGGTTGGGTGTCCCCAGAGCCATGACAGGACAAGGACAGATGTCCCCATGTCCTCCATGGGGTGGGGTTGGGTGTCCCTTGTCCCTAGGTTCCCTGATGGCACAAGGACAGATGTCCCTAAGGTTGTCCCCAAGGTTTGGTGCCCTGTGCCATGATGGGACACAGACGGATGGGGACAGAGCCATTGTCCCCATGTCCTGCATGGGGTGGGATCGAGTGTCCCCTGTCCCCGTGCTGGGACACGGACAGATGTCCTCCTGAACCTGGAGGGTTGGGGACAGCGTCCCCAATGGAACAGGAGCAGATGTCCTCCTGTCCCCATGCGGGGACAAGGACAGATGTCTCCCTGTCCTCAATGGGACGGGGTCAGTTGTCCCCTATACCCCTGCAGGGTGCAGGGGGCAGCCCCACTGCTATAGGGTCAGTGCTGACACCCCTCTGTCCCCCCCCAGGCCGTGTGCTGCCCCGACCACATCCACTGCTGCCCCCAGGGCTACACCTGCGACCCCGAGGGGGGGACGTGCCTGCAGGGGGGGCTCCGCCTGCCGTGGCTGAAGAAGACCCCAGCACTGTGGGGTCGGGGTGGGGACGTGCGGTGCGACGACAAGACGAGCTGTCCCGACGGGAGCACCTGCTGCAGGCTGAGCGGGGGCGCGTGGGGGTGCTGCCCCCTGGAGCAGGTGGGGGCTGGGGGGGGTCGGGGGGGGTAGGGTGGCACTGTCAGGGGGCAACGGGTGGTGGGAGTTTGGGGTGAGGTGGCACTGGGTGGGGGAATGTTGGGGTGGTGGGGGTTTGGGGTCAGGCAGATCTGTGGGGGGCTTTGGGGACAGGAGGGGAAGTGGCTCCTCCTCCCCATCGCTGCCCCAACCCCCCCCTTTGTGTCCCCATTCCTGGGGGATGCACGAGGGTGACAATGGGGGCGCACCCGCAGTAGGGACAGTGGGGTGGCATGGGGTGGTGGCAGTGGGTGGCACGATGTCCCTCCCCCCTGTGACATGTCCTCCCCCCCCCCAGGCTGTGTGCTGCAAGGACCACCAGCACTGCTGCCCCCAGGGCTACACCTGCGACGTCGCCACGCAGAGCTGCGAGAAGCTGTGACCCCCCCGGGGCTGTGACCCCCCCACCCCAATAAAGGGTTTGTAGGAAAAAAAACCCAAACGATTTTGGGGGAGGAAGAGGCGGAGGCAGCGATGTGTCAATGGGATTTTATATATTAATGGTATCTAAAATCCACAGTGGGGTCTGGGGGGGGGGTTCTGCCCTCCTCCCCCCCCACCCCATCCCTATGGCAGCTTGGAGGCACCGCTGGCCCGGGGGGCAGTGCCAGACCCCCCCGTCCTGTGGGGACACAAATGGGTTTGTGTTAATAATGGGGGATGTGGGGGGGTCCCAGCCCTGTCCCACCCACTGCACCCCCACCCTGGGTGGAATGGTCGTGGGGACAGCAGGGATGGGGGGGAGAAGTGCTATGGGAGAGGAGGGGGGACTTGGGGTGCCCATGGGGCAGGGATGTGGGGTGGGAGGGGGACAGGGACAGGATGGAGGAGGGGCGGGGGAGGGGTGGGGGTGGGAATAGGGTGAGATGTGGAGGGGGGGATGGGGATGGGGATGGAGGTGAGAATGGAGATTGTGTTGGAAATAGGGATGGGGATGGGAGAAATGGGGATGGGGGTGGAGGTGGAAAGGGATGGGGATGGATGGAGTTAAAGCAGAGGTGGGAATGGAGCTGGTGGATGGAAATTGTGATGGGATGGAGAGAGGGACACAGGGATGGGAATGGAGAACAGGAAGGAGATGGAGATTGAAAGGGGATGGGAACAGGGACTGGGATGGGGATGAAAACAGGGACTGGATGGAGTGGAGATGGGGATGGATGGAGATGGGGCTGGGGAGGGGTGGACATGAAAATGGAGATGGAGAGGTAAAGAGGATGGGGATGGGGATATGGAGGAGATAGAGATGGGGAGTGGAATTGGGACAGGAACTGGGATGGGGATTAAGGGTGGGGATGGGGCCAGGAATGGGAACGGTGGAGGTGCGGATAGAAACGGAGATGGGGGTGGAGATGGGGATGGAGACAGAAATGGAGGGGGAGATGGGATGGAGATGGAGATGATAGAAATGGAGATGGGATGGGCACAGGGGTGGGATGGAGACGCGGTGGAGATGGGGACAGCGATGGGATGGAGACGAGGATGGGGGCCGCGGCACTTACTTGACGTTGAAGACCATGAGCGGCCGCTCCTCCCTCCTCTGCCAGGGGCTCTTGCGGTCCCCCCCGTCGTCGCCGCCCTCTCCCCCGTCGCCCGCCTCGTCCTCGGGGCTGCTGGGGGAGTCCCGGGGCGGCTCGGAGGCACTGCTGCACCCGCTGCCCCCGGCCCCGCGGCGCCCCGCGGGGGGACCCCCCAGCAGCGGGGCCAGGGCGCTGTCCTCGGGCGACGGGGGGCCGCGGGGGGGCGGCGGCCGCGAGCGGGGCGGGGGCGGCCCTCTGTCGCCGCCCTGCAGGTCGATGTAGGAGTGGCGGACGTGGGACGCGCGGCCGTCCAGGGACACGAACCAGGCGCGCGGGGCCACCAGCTTCTGCTCGGCCAGCGCCTGCAGCTCGCCGTTGAGCTGAGCCACCGCGGACTCGTTCAGCAGCACGGGGATGGCCACCGGGCCGCCGCCGCCCCCTTGGGACGGGGCCGCAGCCTGGCTCGAGCCGCTCGCCGCCGTCGCCGGGTTGGTGGCTTCCAGCTGCTGGGCGCCCTCGGCGGCCCCGTCCAGGCGCATGTAGCGCGCGGGGATGAGCAGGGTGGGCACCACGCCGCGGTACACGTCCTCCTGCGGACCCTCCAGCGCTCCGCACAGGATCAGCGGCCCCGGCGGCCCCATCGCCGGCCCCATCGCCGGCCCCATCGCCGGCCCCATCGCCGGCCCCATGGGCGCTCCCAGTGACGGCGGCCGCGGCGGCGGCGGCGGCGGCGGCGGCAGCGGGTCGGACGGCGGCACTTCGGCTCCATGCGGGGCTGCGGGGGGACCCTCGGCGGGGGTGAAGTCCTCGCGGGGGTGGCAGCGGCGCGGCGCGGTGCTGGAGGACGTTTGGGGCGCGGAGGCGGGGACCTGCTTGAAGAAGTCCTCGCGGGAGCTGTCGAATTTGAGGACGGGGGTGTGAGCCTCCGTGTCGCCCCCCGAGGACGCGGTCTCCAGGTGGCTGCTGCAGATGAGGTTGAGCTGTGACATGGACGTGGCCTGGTCCCGCTTGGAGGCGTCCAACGTCCCCGACAGCGGCAGCTTGCGGTGCTGCTGGCGTGGCTTCAGGCAGCGGCGCCTGTGGGGACGGCGGGGGGACAATGTGGGGAGTGCGTCCCGTAACCACGGCCCCCACGGGGGGGGTGGTCCCACAGTCTGCTGCAGGGCACCCAAGGGTGGTCATCACCATAGTCAGCTATAGGACATCGAGGGTCGGTAGATCCCATGGTCTGCCAACCCTTAAGAAACCCAAGGGTGGTGTGGTCCCATAGCCAGGTATAGGACATTTGGGGTTGGAAGACCCCAAAGACTCCATAGTCAATTATAAGACACTCAGGGGTGGTGGTCCCATTGTCAGCTATAGGGCACCCAAGGCTGGTCATCACCATAGTCAGCTATAGGACATCAAGGGTTGGTAGATCCCATAGTCAACTACAAGACACCCAGGGCGGTGGTCCCATAGCCAGGGATGGTGGCCCCATAGCCAGGTATAGGGCATTTGGGGTTGGAAGACCCCGTGGTCAATTATAAGACACTCAGGGGTGGTGGTCCCATAGTCAGCTATAGGGCATCCAAGGCTGGTCATCACCACAGTCGGCTATAGGACATCAAGGGTTGGTAGATCCCATAGTCAACTACAAGACACCCAGGGGTGGTGGTCCTATAGTCAGCTACAGGGCACCCAAGAGTGGTAGACACCATAGTCAACTGTAGGACATTCAGTGTTGGTGGACCCCATAGTGAACTGTGGGACACGAAAGGTTGGTGGCCCCATAGTGAACTGTAGGGCACCAATGGCTGGTGGCCCCACAGTCTGCTATAGGGCACCCACAGCTGGTGGCCCCATAGCCAACCATAGGACATTCAGGTTTGGTGGCCCCACAGTCCACTATGGTGCACCAAGGCCTGGTGGTCCCACAGCCAGGTATGGGACATAGACCCCATAGTCAACTGTAGGGCACACGTGGCTGGTGGCCCCACAGCCAACCACAGGATGCTCAGGGTTGGTGGTCCCCATGGCCAGCTAGAGGGCATCTGAGGGTGGTATGAGTTGGTGGCCCCATAGTCAACTGTAGCACAGATAGGGTTGGTGGCCCCATGGAAGTTATAGGATGTCTGCGAGCGGCAGGAGATGTGGAACCCATAACCAGCTATGGGATGTCCGAGGGTGCCAGGCAAGTGGTGGAACTCATAACCGACTATGGGATGTCTGTGGGTGCCAAGCAGGTGGCGGAACCCCCACAGCCAAGTATGGGATGTCTGTGAGTGCCAAGCAGGTGGGACACCCCATAACCAACTATCAGCCACCCATGGGTGCCAAGCGCACCGTGACCCCACGGCCGGCCGCAGGACCCCATGGGCAGCGTGGGGAGGCCGGCGCTGACCTGCAGTAGTAGATGAGGAGGCAGAGCAGGGTGAGCACGAGCAGGGCCAGCGCGCCCAGGATGGTGAGCAGGAAGATGGTGTGGTACGCCGTGATGTCCTTCATGCCCGCAGCCACGGCCACCAGCCCTGCGGGGACACCGAGCTGGGATGCGGCACGGCCACCCCCCCGGGGCACCACAACTCCTCCCCCCGCGGGGGTCCTACCTGGGCTAGGAGAGGGCACTGCCGCTGCCCAGTAGCCCAGCTGGGGGGCCACGAAGGTCCAGTAGAGCTGCTGGCCCTCCCTGCGGATCAGCCCCGTCCCATTGCGGACCCACAGCCCTACGGGGACACGGACCATCAAGGCAGGGCGGGACCCCGAGCTCCACCACGGCCAGCACCACCACGGCTCCCATTGCCCACGGCCACCACCCCCCCATTCCCGCTGCCCATGGCCACCACCACCCACCCACAGCCATCACCCACGCTCCCACTGCCCCCCACCACCACCCCATTCCCGCAGCCCCCATCCCCCACCCACCCATGGCCACCTCCCACATTCTATTGCCCATGGCCATCACCACCCACCCACCACCACCCCACTCCCGTTCCCCACCACCACCACCCCCCCATCCCACCGCTCACCGCTTTTGGGGTCAAACCTCCATGCAGGCACACTGGTGGCCGCCACGGCGCCGGACTCAGAGCTGAGCGGGACGGACAGATGGACGGGTCCTGCCAGCTGCACCTCGGTGCCGTTCCCGGTGAACAGGCGGACGCCGAGCGCGGCCACGGGTGACAGCTCCAACCAGGTGGCATTGGCTGGAGATGAGGGCAGCGGGGTGAGCAGACGGGACCCTGCGTGCGTCCCACACCCTGCGTGCATCCCGCACCCTGCGTGCATCCCACACCCTCCCCCCGGTGCCGGTGCCCCCATACCGCCGCTGTCAGCCCCCAGGAAGGCAGGGAAGCTGCGGAGGTCTCTCGGCGCGGTGGCGGCGGTGAGCGATGCCCAGAGCTGGCTGTACGTGGAGCTGCGCGGCAGGCGGGCGGCGCGGCGCTGGAACTGCGCCCATGGCTGAGCCCGAGCACCTGCAGGGTCAGGGACAGAGCTGTGGGGTTGGTGTCCTGTGGGCAATCGTAGGGCACCCAAGGGTGGTGGCCCCATGGCTAGCTATGGGACATCTGAGTGTGCTGCGGGTTGGTGGCCCCATAGTCAACTGTAGGATACCCTACGGGCAGTGGTCCTATAGTCAACTATATGGCACCCAGTGGTGGTGGCTCCATGGTCAACCGTAGGGCACCCAAGAGTGGTGGCCCCATGGCAAGCTATGGGACATCTGAGTGTGCTACGGGTTGGTGGCCCCATAGTCAATTGTAGGACATCTAGGGTTGGCAGCTCCATGGCAAGCTGTAGGACAACCAAGGGTGGTGCTCCCACAGTCAACTATATGGCACCAGGGGTGGTGGCCCCATGGGAATCTATGGGACGTCTGAGTGTGCTACGGGTTGGTGGCCCCATAGTCAACTATAGGATACCCTGGGGGCAGTGGTCCTATAGTCAACTATATGGCACCTAAAGGTGGTGGCTCCATGATCAACCATAGGGCACCCAAGAGTGGTGGCCCCATGGCAAGCTATGGGACATCTGAGTGTGCTACGGGTTGGTGGCCCC